TGCTTTCGCTTGCGTATTACCTGCTCCGAATGGAAAGCCAACCGTACAAATGACATTCACGTCCAACCTTTTCTCCCTCGCCTTGCGCACGGCAAAGTCGACCCAGGCAGAGTTGATGCATAGCGTCGCTGCGCCAAATGTGTGCGCATCCAACAGCGTCCTTTCAATCTGCTTCTCATCTGCCGAAGGAGCCAAGAGCGTGTGATCGATCAGTGCGGCGATAGAGGTGGGGGAGCTTGGTGCCGAGGCTGATGCCCATTCCCGTCCTGGCACTGCCCGCGTCTCAATGTCCGCAGGTGTAGCGACGCGGAGTTGCTCCAACAACTTTGCCAATTCGCTCTCCCTCGTACGAGCATCTCCCACAAGCGCCATCGTAGCTCAATCGGGGCTGCTCCAAAGCTCAAACGGTGGCGTGGCGGTCGAATGTGGAGTGTATGCGCAGAGTCCTACCGAGATGGTGGTCGCTGCATCGAAGCTACTCCGCAGAAAACTCCGCGGCGGCTTCCTTCAATGGTCTGTGCATTTGCTCCCCGAATGCCAGCAACAATTCCCCTGGACGCGCACTTGCATCCCCGCGCTATTCACGATGGCCAGCGCACAAAACAGGCGGGCGAGAGTTGCGCAGAGTTGCGCACCCTCACAACTTTTTCAATTTGTGGGTCACCTCAATTCTCTTGCACCAGACGGACCGGAGCCACTCTCGCCGAGAACATCATAGCCATTCGCATCACACTGGACGCATCCCGGCCGTGAGACTTTGGTTTTGGGGGGGTGGGTGTACAAAATGGATGAGAGGCATGACGCTGAAGATTGCGCGCGGAGCGTGCGACGATGGGTGCATGGATGCGTGTTGAAAGGTGTGAGCCTGGAGCCGGATGTGCGAAGACAGGCTGCTCCGGCCATGTACGAACGACTCGGCAGGCTGACGTGACGACGAGGCAGGCAACGGAGAGGCAACTCAAACAGAGATTCCTCGAGCCATCTACTTCTTCGCAGCGGCGGCCTCCTCCTCGGCCTTCTTGACACGAGCAACTCTCGCGCCCTCGTTGCGGTGCTTGGCGCGGGCGTCTCGCAAAGTGCGGTAAGCCGAGCACTCCTTCTCCTCGGCTGTGATGGCACGAGGTGCCTCGGGGACGATACCGGCAGGCACAGGGAATGCAGCAGAAGCGTTGCGCTCGGTAGCGAGCTCCTTGACGTTGGGGATCTGGGTTTCAACGCAACGCGGTCAGCAGATTGATGACGAATAGAGGCCCTCCCCATTCCCTCGCCTTGCGCGTGGCTCCGCATGTGGACCTAGTAGCCTGCCATCCGAATCGCTCTCGGTAGCAGTCACTCACCTTGCCCTTGTTCTTCTTGTTCCTGTTGGGAATGAAGACGACGCGTTCACGGTAGGCCTTGATGCGGTCAGCGTTGAGCTTGAGGCTTTCCTCGCTCTTGTTGCGCCTGCGGTGGTCGTAAGGAATGCCGATAGAACGAGCTGCGTGCTTTCCGAGACCGGCCGCCTTGATCTCCTCTGCAGTGAAACCACGTCCCTCACGGAGCTTGGTGTTGTACTTCAATGTGGGGCATCGCACAGCGGGACGAAGAGACTTCACGGGACGCAGACCGAGTGCAGCAGCCTTCGCTTGACGCTTGTTGCGGCGGGTCTTCTTGGCACCGGGCTGGTCGAACCAAACCTTGACCCGACGTTGCCAATCCTGTGGACCATCACTCGCTGAAAGTCAGTATGACTGCTCTGCGCTGCAACTACAGCTTCCTCCTCCGAATGACACCATCTCCACCATACAGCACACGAGCAGGTGACGATGTTGACAACGAGACCACTGAGCGAACACCCTGCTGATCCGCCCATTGTCCTCGCTCTCTAGAGGTCGCTGCCTCTGACCATCTGCTCTCAGTCGGCAGCCTCCCCTTTACACCTCAGGAATCACATACGCTTATCCGCCCATCCCTCTTGATCTTGTCAACGTGTGCTTACCCTGCAGCACAGGAACGGTAGCGAAAGTGTCAGTCGCTACGCTTGAACAAGATAACGCAGCATTCGTAGGTCACTCACTTGCGGAAATGGTTGTTGTGGCTGGAAGTCGCAGGCAAGACGAGTAGACATGGCCAAGTCAGCTACGACATCGCAAAAATCGCACAACTGGGAGCAATCCTCTGCCACTCACAGGACGTTGTTGTGACGGAAACCCCTGCAAAGAAAAAAGGAGGCATGGAGGCCAAGTCGTGTCAGCTTCACTCTCTCTACGTGTACGCAATTCCTCTGCAAATCTCCCCAATAACATGCTCCACAGTGCTTCCCGCTTCCCGCTCCTTCCCTTTCCCAGCTTCTGTGCTGCAGCGCTTCGCAGCTGTGGACGACCCCGAGACGCTGTCCGCCTGAGATTGTCCAGCAATGCGTGCTTTGCCGTCGGCAGCACCATGAGACGAAAGAGACGAACGCGATGCTTACATCTTGACTGTTGTAGGTGGGTGACGATATCTTGAGGTTGGTGGTTAAGAGGCGTGACAGCGGCGAGTGATTGAACAACCATTGCGTGAGGACAGGTAGGCGCCCAAGCCCGTCACGCTTCTTCGACGGCCAAGCATTTCATGCGCTGCGAGAGCCACGTGGGAGTTCCTGTGGGGCGCGCATCCGCAACGCTGCCTGGCGCGCAACCGCCGCGTCTTGCCGTGCGCAAGACCAGTAGCCGCAGCTGGCGCAACGCGTACAACTCTCGAGTTGAAACTTGACTTTGAGATATTCAAGATTTCCAGATTGAAATTGAAGTTAAGAATATACCTTTGATCGTTTAGCCATGCATTCTTGGATTCACGAGTGATATCGACGCAAATTACAAGCTCGAGATGTGAATCACCAACGTGAATAATAAAAGGTGACGATCCTTGATCGTGAAATCAAAAGTGTCGACTAGCTGCGCTCATGCTTTGATCAGTGAAACAACACAGCCACAAAGCAGATTATATCCTGAGTCTCTGTCATTCTGGCCCCAATCGTGAATGTTCTTTCGAGAGCAGCCAGATTGTGGCCATGGGCCAAGAGGAGGATCTCGCACATCTCACCTCTGGATTTGGGTGTACAGTGCGCTCTCGTCACAGTCGTGAGTATGTGAAGAGCGTTGGAGTCTTTCGACGGCAGCATACCGTTCTTGAAAGTGGGCCAGTCAATCACAGAAGACTTTGCAGGGCAAGGGTGCGATCCGGTGGATACCTCTCTTGGGTTTCAAATGTGATAAATGTGTCAGATTTTGTGCACCCTACCAACGGTATCACATATGCCGCATCCACGCCGTCGATTCCTCGCTGTGCGCATACACGTATCATGAGCATCCCATTCACAGCATTTGCATCAGCATACGACCTCATCGGTCCTGCTTATGCCCTTCCGCCTTCGCCTTCTCCATTTCCAGCTCTTCTTGTTTCGTCGCGCTAGTATCAGCCTTTGCTTGTTCCTCCGCCACTTCGACCTGCTTCTCAATCTGACTTTCTGCCTCGGATCCGGACTTTGCGGTTGCATTTGCGCCCTTGGGCTGCTTTGGTGCCGTTCCCGCGGCGGGCTGCCTTTGCTGCGCTGGTTTTGCAGCAGGAGACAAGTGCGCACCACGCTGCGAGAGTTGTGGTGTCGAGTCCGCTGCCTCTGTTTCCTGAGCGGCCTCCTGACCTTCGACTTGGGCAGGAGTGCTTCTTTCTTGATCCTGTTCCAACTGGCCACTGGTCGCTGCAGGGGTGGAAGCTGCCGCAGCGAAAGCCTGAGCTTCGGCTTGAACACTTTGCTCATTCACAGATAGCGCCTCGACATTGCTGTCCGCCATCTCCTCCTTCGCCTCGATCTCGACAGCATTAGGCTGCAGACCCAGCGAAGCACCCGTACTTTGGGGCTCGTCCGCGGAGCTCGCAAATGTCTGCTCGGTTGCTGACAATCCACCTGCGTTGCCCAGTGCAGCCCGCTCGACCTCCAAAGCTTTGCGGCCTTCCTCGTCGGCTTTGTCCAAGTCTTGCCGAACTTGCTTAGCTAGACGTTTGATGTTGCCCTCTGATGTTTCCGTGTCTTGCATGAAGTCAGCCTCGGCCTGCTGTGCATGCTCGTTCGACGGGGGCGGTACATCTCGTCCAGTCAATTGGCGTAGAGCAGAGTCTGCCATATCTTGGCCGAGAGTGATAGGGTGGTGTCTGCGACGGTATGCGGTCCACTGATCAGCACAAGGATGCGAAATCTCAGTCTATGCTGCTTGCTACTTACCGAAACACCTCCGCTCTTTGTCCAACGCCAGCCATGCCGTGTATGCGACACCATTGCAGCCATCTGTCCACCACTTCAGGATGCGAATCGTAAACCTTGAGCACTCTGGAGTGAGTGTGCCTCGTAAAATTTTCCTGGCTTTTTTTGTGGACGAATGGTCCCTTTGGCACTGTCCAAAGGCTCATTGTAGTAGGAAGCATTGCAGGTCTGGTGCATGGCATTCCTAGAGCATACGCTGAGCGCAACGCGAAGTCTGCAAAGAAGTCCAAGTTCTCGAGCGTTGCGGGTGATCCGTACACCCTGAGATGTAGTGAGGCTACGTGATGCCCATGTGTCCGCGGATGGACCTTGGCAGCTTCGAACGGCGATGGCAGGGAATTTGGGTCGGGTCTACCAGTGGGCTTCCCTGACAGCCTCCCTGCAGGCGACTCGAATCGTTTGGCGGATGAGCTCGGTCCAAGGACAGATGAATCGGCATCATAGCTGTTCATTCGAGGCAAGACATCAGTCAAGGGGACCTCATCAGAACTTGGAAAGGTAGTTGAAGTCTACTCACGCTGGGGCAGCTGGAGATTTTGCAGTCGACGAGACAGAGCGACTGCCTTCAGCAACAGCGCTGGCTCCCATACTCCTGGCATGTAGCCGGCCCACATTCCTGGCTGCAGCAAGCGAGGTCATGTTGTGGGTCCTGACACCAGCGAGCGAGTGGGTGTGGTGGGAGAAGGACTTCGCGGTGGATCAGGGTGGAGATTCAACCTCTGGCGAGCCTCGCAAATCAATGCGGGATCAAGCGTGACTGCAACTGACAGGCCGCTTAAGCTCGACACACTAATATGATCAAAGAGGTTGCTGAAGTCTGGCAGATCGTGGATCCCGTTGGTGCTGGTGTTCGCATTCACATTTGTGCTTCAAATCGTGTCGCGAAAGCACTCGAGATCGCGAAAGCCACTGTGACCCTCGTGTCCGCTGATGCACGTTGTGCTAGTCACAGCGCTCGTCCAAGAATGCTCGCGAAGGAAATTCGCCATGCAGGCACACGGCTGCAGCTGATGCTTGCTGCATGGGCTCAGCCACGCATGCATCCGTGAGTAACGCACGCGCGGGTGCGGCTCCTGTATGCGTGATCGATCGATCGGCTGGATGCGAGGGTCCGTCTAGCACGACCCAGCAGCAAGGTCGGGCGGGGGTCATTCGCCAGTGCGATCACATCCCATCTTCATGACTTGGTCATCTTGAGGCCAGCGTCACGCCGAATCATTCACGGCAACATCGCTGAATACTGCTCGAACTCTTTGTCTCACCGCCTTGCCACGCATTAGCCGGGCTCAGACATTCACCACGATGAGCGGTGAAGAGCGCAGGTCGGCGGATGGCGCTGCGAGCGATAGCTCAGAGGTACCCTCTGCAACACACAATACTACCACGACCACATCGTCAGTACCAAGTAAGCTGAGACATGGTCGCAAGCCAATGTACGACTCTGATGCCTCGGCCGATGGGCTCGATCCAGCTGTGGATGACGAAGAGCTGGAGAGAGGAGGCGCTCCTGCTGAAGCGCAGGCACACGAGGCGGACCCTCTGTTGAGAACGAGCAACTCTCGGCGGCAATCGGGTGGACTGTTCGCGAACGTCTCGCAGAGGTGGTCGGACTTCTTTCACTCTCAGACAGGTGGTCGGGGCTCAGTACGAAGGGGAAAGAGGAGAGATCTTGGCAGCGCCACCTCAGCAAGACGCGTCTCGAGTGGGAGCAATTCGCCGAGCTCGTTTGCCGTCTTTCGAGCGAACCATCCTGCCCTCCTCCGTGCTCTCTGGGTGCTCCTTGGATTGATTGCAGCAGTCATCTTGTTGATCGTTGTAGCTTTGGTGCACCTATTCACCGTCACCCTGAAGGCGCCGGACGCGGACGCGCAAGCCCAGATCTTGGATCAAAGTCTGCTCGTAAAAGGCCCTGATGCTGTCTCTTTACTCAACATCAGCGATGCCGGCTTGCTCGTGCGCATTGACGGTCGTCTCGGCATCGACCCCGACACCGCCCTGGATCTTTGGCTGGGACAGCGCACAGAGGCTAGCTGGTGGTCCCGCAAAGATCGCAGCATCGTCGAATGGGCACTCGGCAAGATGGGCGGAGTGCGCGTTGAAGTAGGGCAGTTGCAATTTGCGGAACCGGACTGGGCTTTGGATCTGGAGGAGAAGTACCTCGATCTCATCCCTTCTGACTCCAAGCGGCATTCTTCAAGCGATGCACTTTCGAAGTCCGCCGAGCTCATCACTTTCGGCTTAGACGGCAGGAGCGTTCGGTCGAAGCCAAACACACATCCGCCACAAGATTTGATGTCCTTTCACATCGACCCCATCATCGTGCCCTTCCCTCAGCTGCGCTCGCGTCTCGATGAGAGCCAATCTCGCGATAACAAGACGCATCGAGCTCACCAAGAGCTTCGCCCTCTCAATCTAACGCTGCTCCTTAAGCCTGTCTCGCCTGCTCCGTACCTCATGGAGGTCGCGAAGGCAGCCATCAAGCAGCGCAAAGCCACGCTTGACATCAAAGTTGCTAGCCTGAATGTCAGAGGGCTGGGAAAGCGTGAGCTCAACCGAGGAGATGTCAAGGGAGGAAGATGGAATGTACCTGGGTGGATCAATCTCGGGCAAGGTGACATTCGCAAGCGTATCAGTCAGCGAGGTGAGTGCTGCATGAGCTGCCTTCATTGGAACCCCTTCTGATCTGTCATCACGCGCACAGTTCCCAAGCTCAAAGACTCAAACAGCACGTCCGACTTGCTCGACCTGCAGCGCTACGAGTTCTTCGAGATTGGATCCGAAGCCATCAAGGATGCTGCTTCAGTGCTGGCTTCTCGCGCGCTGGGCATCAAAGCTTTTGCCAAAGCGAAAAACCCGTTGGGCGACTTGCTACACGGTCACGTGCGCTACAACTTGCCTTTCGGCGCGTTTCTGCCACTTCCGAAGACGGAAAGCACTGGTCTAAGCAGTGCCGGTCAAGAGGACGCGACCTTGTTGGCAGTGATCGCTAGCGACCCCTTGGAGCTGACTGGGGCACCCAATATTTCTCTATCGCTGCAAGGCCGTGTCGTGCCGCCAGCAGACGGTATCGGTGAAAGCGCGGAGACTAGCGGCGATGCGTACACCAGCGTGCCGGGTGCTGGACAGGCCGCATTCGGCGTTGCGGAGGACGGTCCGGCTCGCACCGCTGAAACGCCTGCTCAAGCAGCACTTTCCAATTTCCTCAGTCGCTTCTTGCGCGGAGACCCAAATACAGTCCTCGTAAGGGGCGGATCGCCTTTCGCCGAAGGTGACCCACAGAACGATCCGACTCTTCCTGGAGGCGGATCGCGCCTGCCAGAGTGGCTTGATGGGGCTCTGCGGTTGCTCGATCTGCCAATCAATTTCCCGGGTAGCAAAGTGACGGATCTGATAAAAAATGTCACCATCAACGACCTGAAAATCACGCCGCATCCATTTGAGAAAGAAAAGCTGGTATGCTCCGGTGTCGTGATGGGCGAGATGGCGCTTCCGGGCCAGCTCGCGACGATTGACGTCCAGATCACCCACCTCTGGCCGGACATTCTGGTCTTTGACGGCAAGCCGCCTTCCATGCGGCACGGAGACGATGATGACGACGACGGCGATGATGACGACGATGATGGGCTCTCTCACTCACGACAAGGTCTACGCTCTTCTACTGAGGATCCAGAACCACCCGAGCCTTTGCCCTCGCCCTTGCCCAAGCACGCATTCGGGAGGGTTCGGCCGCACAACTACACAGAGGCCAAGACTTATATCGATCCGACGGACCCGAAGAAGCAGCGCAAGCTGTTGCGCTCGGAGCTCAAGGACGTGCCCATCACTGTGCTGGATGGCCGTGGCAAAGAATTCAGAGCCTACACTTGGAAGTTGGTGACTGGGGAAGGCGCACTGACGGGCATCGAAGGCAAGGCCAAGGCCAAGATTTGGAATTCTGGACTTGGACACCTGACGCTGCAGAATTTACCAGTCAAGGGAGCGTTCATGGTAGGCAAGCGCGGCGGAGGCGATGATGATGATGACGACGACGACTTGTCCTAAGGCGCCCTAGCCTCGATCACTTTTTGCCAGCGCAATCCCCTCAATTCAGTCCGCGCGCTCCGTGGCTCAGACTTCCTCGAAGCTCCTTCTTGCCCTCCACTTTTGTTTCGCTGTTGGCCTATGTACGGATACTAAACGGGACACGTGATCGATATGTTGCTGATAACAATGTTTCGTACTTCTCGCTGTCATGTGCAGAAAGCGCAGCACTCTGACCGACTTAGTGCTGCGATTGAGAGAACACAAAGTTGTCCGTGAATCAATCGTCGCACCCTCGAATTCCTGTCTCCGCACGCTCATGCCTCGGTGATTGTGTGTCTGACGCACGCAGCACATGCACCCATCTCGAGACCT